AAGAACAGAGAAATAATATTTTAATGTCAAATTCTATTGATAATAAAATGCGTGCATCGTTTTATAAATACTTACCAGCTGGTAGTTTAATACGTGAGTGAAAGAACAGAGAAATAATATTTAATGTCAAATTTTATTGATAATAAAATGCGTGCATCATTTTATAAATACTTACCAGCTGGTAGTTTAGCACGTGAGTGAAAGAACAGAGAAATAATATTTAATGTCAAATTCTATTGATAATAAAATGGTACATCATTTTATAAATACTTACGAACTGGTAGTTTAGCACGTGAGTGAAGAACAGAGAAATAATATTTTAATGTCAAATTCTATTGATAATAAAATGTGCATCGTTTTATAAATACTTACCAACTGGTAGTTTAACACGTGAATGAAGGAACAGAGAAATAATATTTTAATGTCAAATTCTATTGATAATAAAATGCATGCATTGTATTATAAATACTTACCAGCTGGTAGTTTAACATGTGAGTGAAAGAACAGAGGTAATAAAATGCGTGCATCGTTTTATAAATACTTACTCTCTGGTAGTTTAACACATGAGTGAGAGAACAGAGAAATAATATTTTAATGTCAAATTCTATTGATAATAAAATGCATGCATTGTTTTATAAATACTTACCAGCTGGTAGTTTAACATGTGAGTGAAAGAACAGAGAAATAATATTTTAATGTCAAATTCTATCGATAATAAAATGTGTGCATTGTTTTATAAATACTTACCAGCTGGTAGTTTAACACGTGAGTGAAAGAACAGAGAAAATAATATTTTAATGTCAAATTCTATTGATAATAAATGCGTGATATAAATACTTACACACTAGTAGTTTAACATGTGAGTGAAAGAACAGAGAAATAATATTTTAATGTCAAATTCTATTGATAATAAAATGTGTGCATCATTTTATAAATACTTACTAACTGGTAGTTTAACACGTGAGTGAAAGAACAGAGAAATAATATTTTAATGTCAAATTCTATTGATAATAAAATGGTACATCGTTTTATAAATACTTACTTACTGGTAGTTTAACATATGAGTGAAAGAACAGAGAAATAACATTTTAATCTCAAATTCTATTGATAATAAAATGCATGCATCATTTTATAAATACTTACCAGCTGGTAGTTTAACACGTGAGTGAAAAAGAACAGAGAAATAATATTTTAATGTCCAATTCTATTAAAAAATGCGTGCATCATTTTATAAATACTTACTCCCTGGTAGTTTAACACGTGAGTGAAAGAACAGAGAAATAATATTTTAATGTCAAATTCTATTGATAATAAAATGCGTGCATCGTTTTATAAATACTTACCAACTGGTAGTTTAACACGTGTGTGAAAGAACAGATGAATAATATTTTAATGAAAAATAATAATAATTTATTATGATGAAAACTATACTTACAACTGGTAGTTTAACATTTAGGTGAGATAAAATTTAACGAAGGAATTTTTGATCAATGAATTCTATACTTACCAAGTAAGAAGTGCGACAACTAGCAATACGCCAAATAATATAAGAAATACTAAATTAATTGGTTCAAAAGCTTGTCTACTAATGATAATGATCCAAAACACTTGAATAATTATCACTGGAAATAATATTAAAAATAGAACAATGATCAAATATAATCCTTCAAGATGATATTCATGTAATTTTCTGTGCTTAATTATTGCAGAAACAGCGCAAAATACGTGTAATAACATGTTTATAATTGAAAATATCTTTATATCTAATGTGTCTTCATAAGTAAAGGAAATTATTAGTGGAATCACCCAAGTAACCATATTATATAATATGTCGTCTAATAATAGCAATAAATAATTTTTAATAGATCTCTCTTTATTTTTGACATTAAGTAGAATGACAAAAGTGATTGAAAACAATGTATTAAGGAGACCATCATATAGATCTTGCTTAGATGAATAAGTTTCATCTATAATAGATGTCATTGCAAATTGAAAAAATGAAATGAAAATAATTTTCCCAAAAAAAAAGTTCATTTGAAGGCTGTTTATGGCCAATCTTTAGTTTTTAAATATAATTTATGTCTTTGTGAGTAATTCACTTGTACAGAAAAATTATATACGTACGTACGTATGTATGGTGCAGAAAAATTAAAAATCTCAATTACTTTATATCAGTGTTGGATAATGATATCGTATGACTCATATGACTTATATGAATTGTCTTATCACAATATCATATGAGATGTCATATAATAATAATATAATATGATTTTATATCATATGACATATGAATTGTATGATTCTTATTATGCAAGCATATCATATGACATTTAGGGATTGGAACCGTTTAACCGTTTAAAAATTGCTCCATAATTCCAGGCAGAATTATGTTGGTCGTGGGCCGGAATTATCTTAATGCCGGCCAAGTTAAACGGTTAAACGATTAAACGATCAAACGATTAAGAAAAAGTTCTAATCCCTAATGACATTATGATATAGTCATTTGCCAACACTGCTTTATATATCTGATACATTAGACATAGCTGCCACACCAATTTTGTCACAGATGATTCTCGATTTTGATTGGCTAACGGCCAGGATCTACAAAATTTTGGCCCGCATTACATAATTGTTTACATAATTTTTGGATGGAATTAACTTTTTAACTTTTTCATTCCCAAAATGAAAATTTTTAGAAAAATAGGCCTGCACAATTATAAAATTAGCACAGAAATATTTTTCACTTAATGTGAGGCTGTGGTTTTATTAGTAAAATTTTGAGTAACTTAGGCCTAAATTATTGATTGTCACTCTTAGCCAATCAAAATCAAGAAATCGTCGCTCATAGCCAATCAAAATCAAGAATCATCCGTGACAAAATTGGTGGTTCAATTAGCAGATACATGTAGGAGATAATCTAAATTTAGAATTCTCAAATAATGGCTTGTTTATGTTTCAGCGGTATCAATAGATAATTGTATTGCTACTATAGATGTTAGTGAAACTGGTAAAACTCTTGATGTATGGTAGTGAAACCAGGAGTGCCGAATAATTGATTTCAATTACAATTAAATTTAGTTACAGTTGTGATAAATTGTGAATAATATATAGTTATTGGATGTGTAGCATTCAATAACTGGAGTTATTTGGAAGGTGGTACAATTATATCATAATCTGTGTGATCATGATATTATTGTCATACTGACAAATAACGAAAAGTATCTGAGCCAGAATTTGATCAGTCAAATTCTAGTTCAGATACGACAGTTATTGGTGCGTAGCATCCAATAACGGTGTTATCTGGCATCTGACAATGATTGGGGTAACTTATGACTTCATAATAAGCTTTATGACAAGTCAAAAGATATTAAATTTAAATGATAAATATGTAAAAGCAAATAAATAAATAAAGTCAATTTGTAAAGTCTAATTTTTATATAAATATCTCTTGTAATTTTAAATAGATTAGACCTTTCTTGTTCTTTTCACTTTTACTTTCATTTTACTTTTATTTCTACCTTTATTTTATTTTTACTTATTCAACACCAAAAAAAAAATGTCAAATAAAAAAGTTAAATATCATAAACCTACAGATAAAGAAATTAATGAAATTATTAAAGGCATGATACCTGAAAATATCTGCAAGGCCATGGCCAAGTGGGTCAAAATACTTAAAAATTAAAGATTGGAAGTAGGATATGAATATGGAATTGAAACAATTAATGATCAGCAGCAGTTAGTACATAAAATGATTGAATTCTTCCTGAGGATCAAACAAATTCGTAATCAGTCAGAATATTTACCATCTTCACTTATGAATTGTATATGGTTGCTAAGTGTTTATATATTTAAGCATCCTGAATCAGTTAATAAATTTAACATTAATAATCGAAAAGAATTTTCATAATTATGGGAAGCATTAAATGGCAAGATGAAGCAATTAAAAAAAGTAGAATTGTATTAAAACATCATAACCATTTAATTGATGATGAATTGAAACAAATATTTCAACATCCTGCGCTTTCTATTAATAACCCTGAAGGATTACTTTATCAAATTATTATGTGAAGCTGTCTCTTTTTTCAACCATGAGGCGGAGAGCATTATAAAATGACCACAGCTCAAATTACATTTACATCTAATGGGGGAATGCAATTTGTTAAAAATTACCAAAAAAATGATCAAGGAGGTGTAGATAGTTGCTCTGACACTCTTGTAATTCCTATTTCACCTGATTCTGAAAACTATCATGGCCCCATTTATGATTTTAAGTATTATTTTGCTAAAAGACCAAAAAATTTTAGCTGTTCATCTTTTTATTTGCAAGTTAATAAGAATATAAAAAGTAAGAATTTTACTAATTATAATAAAATTAATATTACTAATATTAGTATTAATCTAATAATAATATAGATCCTTTAGAAGATGAATAGTATCTTGATGTTCGATTAGGTGAAAAAACATGTAGATCTTTAATGAAAACTATTTGTATCGCAGCAGATATTGATCTAAAAGATCAGAACATTGTTAATCATTCTGGAAGATCTATACCAATTACTTTCCTATTTCAAAAGGGTGTCTCAACAGTTACTACAATGTTATTAACTGGACATAACAGCGAATCATCATACAGGATTTATGCATGCCCATCACAGCAGCAAAAAGAAGAAGCACTATCATTATTAATAAATAATGTTAGAACTTTACCTTTAAAAGATTCAAAAACTTCAAACAATTTAGATACTTCAAGTAATTTGAACACATTAAGTAATTCTGATTTAAACAATACAAAGATATAAATTTTTTATTTTATTTTATTTTATTTTTTTATTTAATTTTTAAAAAAAAAATTTTTATTAGAAAATTAGAAATATTGTTTCAATGAATTTATTTTCATCAATTAATCTTTCTGTTATGAAGCTATTCTGATCACCTTTATGAAATATTAAAAATAAACCTCACAGCAGTCAGCGAGTTTCTCGTAAAATTTTTAATAAGAATGATTTTTCTGAAGGACAAGATTTGAATGATTATGATAATGCTAAGGTGATCAAAAATTACTATATAAATGCTGAAATTATTACTATTAATTAAATATATAATATGCTTTATTATTGTCACAAAATAAAAACTATTAACATTATGCTGAATGATTTATTTGATTATATCCAATTGTCTTTGTCTGATAAATATAAATTTTCAAAAAAACTAACCCACTTGTCTTCACCCAATCAAATTTGCCTGATTCATTAAAAAAAGCTTATAATTTGTCTCACCCGATTGAATAAAAATTTTAAAAACTTATTGAATAATAACTTTTTCTAAATTCAATTAAAATACTTCACTCCAGGCTATTTAGAATTTTAAAATCTATTTTATGATATACTTCACCCAGTTCAATTAGAATTTTAAAAATATTCTTTTATGATTTGTTTTTGTCTGATCAAATTGGAAATTTCAATCTATCAACGGTTCAATTAGAATTTAAAAAACTCATTTCTAGTAAATCTATTCAAATTTAAAAAATTCTATTACGCTTAGTAACTTTACCCGATGCAAAAAAATAATGCATAACTAAATTAAATTATTTTTTTTATATATAAGCTGCCAAATAACTAAATAAACTTTTTTTTTATATGTGTGTTGCCAAATAACTCGAGTTATTTGGCAGACTTAATCATAGTCAGATGCCAGATAATATTATTTATTTTCTTAAAGATAGCCCTAAGATTTAGAACTAGATAAAATAGAAATCAGGAAATATTTGCCAGTAATATTAGTATTAATGAACTACTTACATATGTACAGTATTTAATTAAAGTTTTTAATGATAAAATATTAAAAAGAAAAATCTTAATACTCTAATAATAAATTTATTTAAATATTTAGATAAATTTATTTTATATAAATAATATTAATCCACAGATAAGCACTATTAAAAAAAAAATCAAGATTTTAGATTTTGAGTTTTCAAGGCAGAATTTATTTACTTTGAAGTTTCAAAAGCTGGAAATCTAGTTTTCTTTAATAAACTTGAATATCAACAAAAGGTTATCACTTTGTTTATTGCTTTTGTACATTTTTAAATAGCTCAGTCTTTTCTAAAGCCTTAGAGGGCTCAATCTTTGCTGAGTTTTGACTTTTTCAAGGGTTTCAATTTACTAGAGGTTTTATCAGAGTTTTGCAGTTTCACTATTTTGCTTGGTTTTATTTTTTGTCATTTGCCAAAAATAGTTTTGCCTGCTAATACTAAACATGCATTTTGTTTGTTCCATTTATATATAGTCTTTGTTTTTCTTTTAACAATTATTTGGATGCAAATATTATTATAAATAATCTGGTCTTTGTTCACTATTCTGTTACCTGATTATACTAATGGTCTAGTATATTTCCAGTACTAAACAAATGTTTTCTTGTATTTGTATCTTCTCATGGTAAGGTATTACCGCCTTAAAACTTTTAAATAAATTAGGTAATTTAGATTATATATTTTTATTTTTTTAGTAATTTTTTAATTATTAGAAAAATTTCAGTTGTGAGTTAAATTTGAATTTTTTGCAAAAAATATAAAAACTAATTAGATTCAATTAAAAATTAATAAAAATAATTAAAAATTCTAAACAATTTTCTTATTTTAAAAGATAGCTATAAAAATAACTTTAAGATTCATATTTTATTATTGTTATATTTATTGTAAACAGATTTTGTTAATTTTCTATATATATATATATATATATTTTTTTTTTTATAAGGTGTCCTTCGGAACCGAGCTTTATTGATGTTTAACTGTTGACCACGTGGGTCTTACATTTAGTATTACAACGAGAGTACAACTAGCCAC